CTTGGAAGAGTTTGCAAGGCTCCCAGGAATTACTGGGAGCCTTGCAAACTCTTCAAGACAATCTTCGCCTCAAGGCCAAACTGCGGGAAAGCTGTCGTGACATAGACGACTGTTTCATGTGTCTGTTCAACGACGAAGGAAACTCGACGCATGGCTCTTGACCTGTCTTCACAAAAAGCTGGAACAATCCGATTCACAAGCAGAGAAAAGGAAATGCCTCCCAACGCTGCCCTTTAACGTGCAGGTCCAGTTGTCGCCAGGGTTTTGTTGATCTAAGTGTGCCGTAAACCCAGCAACAAAAAGTTCCTAGTCCATTTTCGGTCGTACCCCTCAGAAAAAAACGGGCTATGAACAGCAACGTATTAAGGACGGCTAATACAGTTTCTTCGGACAGTCAGGAGAAAGCGGAATCCTTGGTGCTCGCCCAGAACGTTTCTCTTCTCAACGGTTACTCCCTTCCCCCCTCTCCCAAGGGGTAAACGCCTTTGTGGACCACCCAGTAGTGGGGAAGAGGGTGGTACGCTTTTGTTTGCCCTTTATGAGCTACGCTATCAGCTCTAGCGTAAGGCTCGTTTATACTTTGGGCAGCGTAGCGTAACGCTCTGCCAGCCGTAACGCCACGCAGTGCCGGGAGAGGATGCATATCGATCTAGCGTTCCCAGCGTCACCAGCGTAACGCTAGCGTACGCCAGCGTTTCTCCAGCGTTTCACCAGCGTTTTGCTAGCGTTTGCAGCGGCAGGGGAGTAGAGACTATGGGAGAGCTGGAGGGTACAAAACACATCGATTGCGCGTCTCTGACGGCCACATAGTCTCTACAATACACATCGATTGCGCGTCTCTTACGGCCACATAGTCTCTACTCCCCTGCCGCTGCAAACGCCAGCAAAACGCTGGTGAAACGCTGGAGAAACGCTGGCGTACGCTAGCGTTACGCTGGTGACGCTGGGAGCGCTAGATCGATATCCATCCTCTCCCCGGCACTGCCGCTGGCGTACGCTGGAAGCGCTACGCTACGCTGCCGCAAAGTATAAACGCAGCCTAAGTAAGTCTCTGCGCAGATGTGGTCTCGACGGCCTAGTCGGGATTCCCCTGCGAACTTCAGGAAACAGCTGATTCGTAACCGCGGGTACGATCAATATTGTATTACCCCGCATTGTGTTATTTGTCCTCATGGGCGGACGCTATTGATGACGCTTGGATGTTCGTCCTCCCTCCTAGTCAGTGCCCCCAGTTCCTCAGAAGTAAACAGGAAGAGCGGTATGGGAGGTTTACAATGTACAAACTTCATGAAAAGGCTGTGTAGTAGATTCAAAGCGGGCAAAGCACAATTCGCCTGGGGCCTATCACCACAGAGCTGATCAACGTCGCCCATCCAGAAACTCTAGCATAAGCAGAGTGACCTGGCTTCATTGCGTCAGAACTTGGTAAGGTCAAGTCTTCCTGAAGAGTGGCCGCTCCCAAAGCATGTAGCGCAGCGGACAGAACTACAACATACGTATTCCAACTGTGCAGAATCGAAGAACAGTAGCAGCGACGACCATTCCGATCTGTACCTTCAGCGACTGGTTTTGTATACTTTCGTATGTGTACGATAAAGGATCGCAGCCTAGAGATGAAAGCGTAGGAAAGCCTCCTAACATTACATCGAGAAGAACTAAAAATGGTTCAACCTACTTCTGAAACCGGTATCTGAAGAGTGAACATGATATGCTTCTCAGCTTCTCTTTAGAGCACCATATATCTTCGATATCAAACCAGACAAGAGCATTTTAGCAACTCATTGAACGAGTACATTTCCGAAAAAGCGGTCGGACAAGAGGACTATGACGGCTGCCACTCGCCTGAAAACACATGAGCTCCCACGAGTGAATCGCTGGAGTAGCGAAGTATGACCACAACCCGCGATCGATTGGGAGTGGTGCACTAATCACCGCTAATCAATCAACTGTACCACCTGTGCTCCCGTTGATCATTGAATTTCTCGAGCGGGCGCCAGTAACCCTGCAACGTGCAAGAGTTGCCCAATGAACTCTCTCTGCTCGAGGGACACGATGAACTTCATACCATTCGTTCAGAGCTTTCACGAAGAAGTCTGACCATCGCGTAGGCGGTCGTCCAGGCGTTCGCTTGACATCCCGTGGAATCCAGTCGGTGATCGCTCTGGTCCAGCGGTCGTCCTCGAAACGAAACGCATGACGTGCCCGGCCCACCTGATCTTCGAAACCTTGGCAAATGCGGCGGCGTCTCTGATCTTCGATCGTCGGCGGAGTGCGGAGCTCCGGATTCCCTCTCTCACTTGCGTGTAGCGGGAAACTCCGAGCATCGCCCTTTCGATGGCGCGTTGAATAACGCCAACCGCATGCTCATCCTGCTTTCGTAGAGTCCAAGTCTCTGAGGCGTACGTCAAGGCAGGAAGGACCGCGGAATCGAAGAGGTGGGCACGGAGCTTGGTGTTCTTCGTCTTCTTCGCTACTCCCTCGATGTTCTTGAAGGCTCCCCAAGCCGCTCGCTTCCTCCTGCTCAGCTCTGGAGCTAAGTCATTCATCACGACCAGGTACACATAGCTAGAGCATTCAGAGATGGTCGTTCCGTTGAGCGTGAATGGGGCATCAGAAACCAATCCGTTTCTCATGAACATCGTCTTCGTTAGATTCAGCCGTAGACCGATTTTCCACACGCGCAGTCGAAATCAGCCAGCATTCGTTCCGCTTGCTCGATGTTTGGTGTTATCAAAACGATGTCGTCAGCAAAGCGGAGATGGTGTAGTTGCCGACCGTCGATCTTCACTCCCATGTCTTCCCATTCCAGTTGACGCATGACGTTCCGCTGAAGAGCTTGGGCGAGATGGTGTCGCCCTGTCGGACCCCTCTCTTCACGTCGATGATGATCTCCTTGTAGAATGGTGAGATCTTGGTCGTGAAGTTGCTGTATAGCTCACGAAGAATCCTGATACTGAGTAGGAATACCAAGAAAAAAGTCGCAACAGTGACAAGACTTTCTTTCCAACCTAATATTTCTTGAATCAGTGACCTAAATTTGTAGGTCGTGTAGAGGGAGGGGGACGTGAGGGCCCCGATCAAGTAGCAGACATAGCAGTTTTGCAGCGCAGCCAACTTGGGAAAAAAAAGGGGGGGGGCGTGACAAGACAATAGTAATAAGCCCTGCTGATGGGCGTGTAAGCGACGTAGCGACAAGCTGTCCTGCCTGGACATTCAAAATTGGGTGTCGAAGTACGAGAGAAACCGATATCGCCCGCCATGGGTTCTCATTTGCTCGAAATCATTTGAGTCCCGCTGCTCTGATAGATAAACTGATGCACATCGACATTTCCCGCGCTGGCCGCTCATTGCGCGCGCGGCGACGCGACAAATTACGATTGTCTCGTTCGTGCTTCAAAAATGAAAAAAAAAAACGTATGTATCCCTAAGGCGAGGGACATGAGAAGAACGATACGACGGCGCCGGTAATTTGGACTTTCAGTGGTTTACTTCGTACGCTAGTGTATGTCTTCTTCAACGATTGCATTGAGTGCAGCTCCCCAAGGCATTAGTGGAAGGTATAACTGAGTTCATGAAGGGTCTCTTCAAGGTGTATCAAAGACACAAGTGTAATAAAATGTGAACATACACAAAGAAGGGCATCACTCGAGCGGTTGCGTGCCTGTTTGCTCACTGAAATCCGATGTCTATAATGTGGACTAATTAGCAAGGGGGGGGCAAAAAGACACTTCGGCCGAGTCACATAGCAGTAAAGTTTTCGGTACGTAGACAGGAAAGACAGTGAGATACGTCAGGCGGAAGATACCCAAGATGTTCCTCGATAAGCAGGAGCTGGCTCTCGCCCATCACCTTCATGTACACCAAAATATGAAGTCATCTCCAGTCGCAGCCTGACTGGAGAAGACCTTTGGAATTCATGTCATCGCAACAAGGTACATCGTTGTGTGAAACACATAGGGAGGTCGTACTTTTCCGCTGGGGAGGGGGGGTCGTATTTGGTCGCTTGGGAGAGGGGGGTCGTATGTGCCCCCAAGAGAAATTCGCTGTGTTGGGAAAAAATTTTCCCGGTTGTTGGCTAGGTAAAGGGAGGGGGATTCTTTGGAGACCTTCATTTAGTGGGGATCGCACTAGAACCCTCTCTCGGAGGGGGGGGGTCGTATTTACACCACCATTTCACACATCACGATGTATCCTGACCGCCATACAGCTGCGAAACTTCTTGTATGGAGTCACCCATGGATAGCTACCTGGAGACCAGTACTCTCGATCTGGATGACCTCCAACATCGAGCAGCTCCGACAACGTCGCCACGGTCTAGGACATCATCTTCACCACAGTCGCCAAGGCGCGGGTTGATGGTATGGACCGGACGTACCTGGAATGGAAAGACCGATATTTCTTCGTGGACCCGGACTGAAGGTGAGCGCTGGCGGTTACATCGAGCAACTCGAGAAGAATATCCTCCCACATGTCGTCGCCCGTACCTTCTTGGAAACTTTGTACTGCTACAGCATTGGGTGCCACCACATGGAATCGAAGGGCGTTGGAAAAACTCTCGCCTACTTGGAATGGAAGGGCGTTGAGTACCTGAAGAAGACGGAATATCAAGTGTGTCACCTGACCTAAACCCCTCGATTACTCGGAAGGAGCTCAACAGGGTGGTCTACAGTGGCGGAGAAATCAACGACTTCGCTGAACTCAGGCACCGAATCACGGTTGCGTGGCAGAATCTCTCGATGGCGTCCGTCCACAAGGCACGAAGACTACTACGTAGAGGTTAATGCGGATATGTTTTGCGCAAGAATGCAAAAATTATTCCGCGAAACTTCGGACGGGTCACTATGAGCAGCACCCAGTGAAAGCCCACACTTGCCCAATGTTCCGTGAAGAGATGCGATACTGCGCGCGGTGTGGCTATTTTGATACTGTTGCTCGAGCTTGAGAGTTATACAGTTTAAACAATAAAATTTTATTGGAAGTTCATTCGTTTAATGATTTCTTCAGGTCAAAAGTTCACAAAGTCCAGTGCTTGCGTGTGGGGCTTCATTCGGCTTATTACATTCGGAGAGCGTTTTACCGGCCTTGTACCACTGAGCTCCGGGGTAGTTGCCCTCTAAGAGAAGGACTTTTACCATTTTACAACGTTTTGAAGCTCAGATTTGCAGCTGTTGTCTGGGAAAAACAGCTACGCGAGCGGCTACGATGCGGCCGCTGACTACACATTGCAGCCAGCAAGGCGCCCGGATTCCTATTGAAATAGTCGACAAATCTTACCCGGGATGATAGTGGCAGAAGACACCTGTGACTTGAGAACCACAGCTCTTGGCAGCACACCCCACTGTTGTAGTGGTGTCCCAAACAACCTTTTAAACAATACTTCAAGCTTTTGATTATTTGTAAGAACAGCATCACAGCCTTGTTCGCTGCGGATGGAGGGGCATTACTAGCGGTATGGATCTGATGCGGTGCCAAACCCGTTCTTACCAGTCGTTGAAGCGAACAAGCGCGAGACTGTGGGCACTTAATTAGACCGCATGCTACACTTCCCGTCGAGGGAATGGGACCCCACAGTGACCTTCCACCCTTCCCTGAAAGTGCAGGAAAGTCTGGTCTGAACACTGCCTAAGGATGAAGAGTGGCTAGAAGCATGGATCG